CTGCTGCCCCAGAAGGTGGAGATGTGAACTTTTTAAATAATGGGAGAAATTGCACTCCAGAAATCTCTCTAATCTCCTTTTGGAGGCATCAGAGTTAGAGGAGGAGGAGGAGTAAGAGGAGGAAAAGAATCCCTCCCCACAACAGGCACCCTGTTAGGTAGGTGGAGCTGAGAGAGCTCTGACATAAACTGTTCTTTTTCAAGGACAGCTCTCGACAGAACTATGGCTTGCCCAGGTGCAAGTGGAGGAGGAGTGGGGAATCAGACCCGGTTCTCCCAGATTAGAAGAGGAGGAGGAGGAGGAGATTGGATTTATACCCCACCCTTCCCTACCCAAGGGAGTCTCAGAGCGGCTGACAAACTCCTTTCCCTTTCCCTCCCCACAACAGGCACCCTGTGAGGTAGTTGGGGCTGAGAGAGCTCTTGACAGAGACTGATCTTTTTTCAAGAACAGCTCTTGTCAGAACTACGGCTTGTCCAAGGCCATCCAGCCAGGTGCAAGTGGAGGAGGAGTGGGGAATCAAACCTTGTTCTCCCAGATTGGAGTCTGCGCACTTCACCACTACGCCAAACTGGCTGTAACTTAACCACTACGCCAAACAAATTAACTCCTTGTTGTGTGTAGAACTATTTATTTTTCTCCTGACCCGAACTCTTTACCCATTACATTCACGGGGTGTGCCAACTGCATCCAGGAACACTGGGTCCTTACCAAAGGAGAGGGGATCTTGGGCACGCTCCATGACCTGCGCCCTCTGCCCTTGCTCCGAGGAAGCTCCTTCCGCCTCAGGGATTTTAGCTTCCATCTTCAGGGATGGTGCCCACATCTGAAAGAGCAGCGAGGGAGAGGGGTAAGAGGTGGAATGGGAAAGAGGCCAAGGAATGGATCCTGCCCCACTCCCAGACTCTGCACCCGTCCATCAGCAGACCTGGCGAGTTATCCAAAGGGATCAGAAATTCTCCAGTGGAAGCGGCTGCTGAAGGAGGCCATGAAATCCCCCACTTGGATGATTAACACCTGGATAAATATCTTCCAGGGACACTTCTGGATAAGGCCAGATATCCTTGCTTGAAGTGGACATACCTGGAGGGAATCCCCCTCACCTGTTCTGCCTGGGAACTGGTCTCCGGCCCACATCCGCTTAGACCCCTTAAGCTCAGTGGTCAATATTACCATTGTAAAACAATCATCCAGAAATAAATACATGAAAATGGATATCTGTCCCTTCCGTCAAAGGAAGACAACCCAGACACACTGAATATTTGTTCCCAGAACAATTTGCGGAGTGTGTGCATTCACCATGGGAGATTGTCCAAGGCCTGCTGTGTAAACGTTTCACGACTGCATGTGACATGAGAAAGCAACACCCAGCTCTAAAGGAAATCTTTTCTTCACCCATTTATTTCTGGATGTGTGTTGTTTTACAATAGTAATACTGACCACTGAGGAAGGCCCCAAGGGGCCGGAACGTGCATGGTGTACTGGTCATAAGGTAGACCTGTCAATTGTATATGTAAAACTATCAGCTCTCTGTGTCAAAGGTTTTAAGCGTCTGATATTTGGATCATTTCTTTTAACCTGTTTTAATCTTTTAATCTCTCTGTTGATTCAGTCACTCCCTTCCCAGCCTCCACCCAAACAACAAGAGAACTCAAGGGGAATGGAAGGAGGGGGGGTCCCAGGGAAACAGTCCAGAATCCAATAACGTTCAAATCTCCTACCTGGACTGGAGGTACGGCAGCCATTTCCACACCTCTGAGAAGAAGACGGCTCAACAGCATCTCTTCGCTGCCTGTTCCTGAGACAAAGGAGGGAGGGAGGGAGTTTCCTTGCTTGTTCCCTGCTTCACACCACCCACTCTTCCCACGTTTGAGAAGCCTCACCCTGTGTCCGTGCAGAACATTTTTAAATATTTTCTACTGGATTCTGGGAGAGGCAGAAGAGAAGCCCACGGTGCCCATTGAGCCTCAGGGATTATAAATGTGGCCAGCATATTTCAGACTTCTGTGAGACCTGTGTTTGCTCTGCGGGGAGGGAAAGACGTCGCACAACACGTCACCGTCCCATTCAGAAGCAGATGTGACTGAAACGCATCTGGAGACTCTAGAGGAGTATGAATGAGTTCTCCTGGCAGGCTCACTACCAATTTTCCCTCTAAGCTATGGAGTCTTGTGAGCAGAAATTCTACTTTGTGAGCTACTGGCATGAAAGTTGTGAGCGAGCAAATTTGGCCACTCCATAAATTAGTTTGCTCTGGAGCCAATTAGTTTGCTCTGGAGCCAGAGGCTAAAAAACTGTGAGCTGGCTCACACTCACTCAGCTTAGAGGGAACACTGCTCACTACCCAACTAGGTTTTCAGCCAGACACAACATCAACATGACACCACATCTGTCCCAAGCCCCTCCCCAGAGCTCCTGGGGGCGCCAGGCCACCATGTCCTATAGAGGAAAGCCTGAACACCAGGTCCTGACGTCACAGTAATGGCAACCCTAGTAGTCATAACTATCCCTGTGTGGCTGACTAGAGCAGGAGAAGACGACGCTGGTCTCTTTCTCCCGGGCTAGTTTTCTCTTTGCAAAAACTAGGGTTTTGTTGTTGTTTTTTGCAAAGTGGCCGTTTTAATTTTCTCGGATGGAAGAGGATTCATCTTGCTTGCTTTTGGAGGAATCTGGATGTGGTGGGTCGAATCCCCCGAAGCTTCCCTTCCCACTCCCTCCCCCCTCCTCCCAGCTTTGCAAAAGAGAGATGCTTGCAAAAATCAGGGTCACCCCCCCGTTTTGGAATGGAATACCGAGAGATTGGAGGGAGGGGGAGGCTCTGAAAAAGTTAATCTGACTGGAGCGGGATGGGATGGGGGGGTAAGGCAGCCGATCAGAAGGACTCCGTTGGGGGGGGAGTAGTCGGTGGGGGGAAGCCCCCTCGGAACGGTCTGTCACAAACATCACAGGAAATTGAAAACTTTGCAGAAGTTATGTAGTTGCCTTCCACATTAATTTGCCCCTAAACTGCAACAACGTGAGTTGAAATGACAACTGGTGAAATTTAGATTCATTGAAGGCCACAATGTGAAGTTTATTTATTTATTTAATTTTATTTATTTATTTATTTATACCCTCTAATTTACTAATTTACTCAAAAGAAGTTCCATAGGAAGATTGATTGTTGTACTCTTTGAGAAAAGTTGTATGTATTTTATCTACAGCAATTCTATTGTCAGCTGTAATTATAACACCTCAGTTACTGCTGTAGCATCTATGTGTCAGGGTGTACGTTTTATCTATCTACATTGCTCAAATGAATGTGTGTGTTATCCTAATTCTATGCAATAAAATCTGACAATTTAGAATTTCAAAACCTAGCTCCATAAATATGGGCCACACTGACTCTCTAGTACGGATATAATCTACTGTGACTATTACGGTTGGCCATCCAAGTAATAATTTAAAGAAGAGAATCTTCATATTAAGATTAGCTTTGCTAATTCAGTTTGTTTTTGGTCTGCGGTTTGACTAAACCACATGAACCTGTTCTTTCCACAACCGTTCTGCAGTGGTGATCTGACAGATCACAGTAAATTAGTATTTTAGCAGAGCAGTGGTTTCATTGTTATTGTTTTGTTCTTTCCATCATACGACAGACATCCACCACTTTCTCCTATTATATGCTTGTAAATTATACGAAACATACACTCAAATATGCAAGGGAAACTGAACTCAGTAACAGTGTAAGCTAGTGTGAAGAATCTGGAATACTGCAGTGAAAACATCAAGAGAATATCTTGTTTAGTATACGAGAAACTGCAAGTTAAAACACTTGTGACAGTAGCTGGCAACTGCAGAGTTCAGGGAATGTTACGACTACCTTTGATGAAGTCACGACCTGGTGTTCAGGCTTTCCTCTATAGGGGGTGGTGGCAAAGTTCCCTCTAAGCTGTGGAGTCTTGTGAGCAAAAATTCTTTGTGAGTTACTGGCTTTAAAGTTGTGAGCCAGCAATTTGGCTGCTGCCTAAATTGGTTTGCTCTGGAGCCCTCCTTCCTGAGCCAAGACAAAAATCTGTTAGCTGGAGGCTAAAAAATTTGAGCTAGCTCACACTAACTCAGCTTAGAGGGAACAATGGGTGGTGGCCAGGCCCACCGCCTGCCATCCGTCTCCCAGCATCCTTATTTCCCACAGCGGCCCACCGGAGGCCCCTTTAAGCACAGGCACAGAAGCCACATTTTCATAATATCATTGGCCCCTCTAGGAACTGGTTTTCAGAGCTCCGCTGTCCAAGAAGGTGGAGGCGCCCTTTATCCACCAGGCTGGATAGATCTGCCGAGGTTTGTCCAGCTTCCCTCTTCCCCTCCCCCCCCAGCTCCTTGATTTCTCTTTATGGAAGGAAGGTGAGATGTGAACTCTTTAATTAATTGGAGAAATTGCCCTCCAGGAATCTGTCTGATCTCCTTCTGGAGGCATCAGAGTTAGTGGACATCGAGTGCCGCAAATTAACTCCTTGTTGTGTGTAGATTTTTCTCCTGACCTGAACTCTTTACCCATCACATTCACGGGATGTGCCAACTGCATCCAGGACCACTGGGTCCTTACCAAAGGAGAGGGGATCCGGGGCACGCTCCATGACCTGCACCCTCTGCCCTTGCTCCGAGGAAGCTCCTTCCGCCTCAGGGACTGTAGCTTCGTTCTTCAGGGATGGTGCCCTCATCTGAAAGAGCAGGGAGGGAGAGGGGTAAGAGGTGGAATGGGAAAGAGATCAAGGAATGGATCCTGCCCCACTCCCAGACTCTGCACTCTCCCATCAGCAGGCCTGGTGAGTTATCCAAAGGGATCAGAAATTCTCCAGTGGAAGAGGCCGCTGAAGGAGGCCGTTAAGCCTCCCACTTGGATGATTCACGCTTGGACAAATATCTCCCAGGGACACTTCTGGATAAGGCCAGATGTTCTTGTTTGACTTGGACATACCTGGAGGGAATCCCCCTCACCTGTTCTGCCTGCCTCTTCTCCTCGACCTGACTCAGGAGGAAGCCTTCGGCCAGGGCCACCGCCTGGGAACTGGTCTCCGGCCCACATCCGCTTAGGCCCCTTAAGCTCAGTGCTCAATATTACTATTGTAAAAGAATCATCCTGAAATAGATACATGAAAATGGATGTGTGTCCCTTCCGTCAAAGGAAGACACACTCACACACCCAGACACATTGAATATTTCTTCCCAGAACAAGTTGGGGTTCCCAGAACAAGTTGCAGTTGCCATGAGAGATTGTCCTGCTGTGTAAACTTTTAACGACTGCACATGACATGAGAAAGCAACACCCGGCTCTAACGGAAATCTTTTCTTCACACATTTATTATTCTGGATGTGTGTTGTTTTACAACAGTAACACTGATCACTGAGGAAGGCCCCAAGGGGCCGAAATGCGCATGGTCTACTGGTCATAAGGCAGACCTGTCAATTGTATATGTAACACTATCAGCTCTCTGGGGCAAAGGTTTTAAGCGTCTGATATCAGCGGTTCGAGACCCGGGTGCCGCATGATGGGGTGAGCTCCCATCTCTAGTTCCAGCTCCTGCCAACCTAGCAGTTCGAAAGCAAGAAATTGCAAGTAGATAAATAGGTACCACTTCGGTGGGAAGGTAACAGCGTTCTGTGCGCCTTGGTGTTTAGTCATGCCGGCCACATGACCACGGAAACGTCTTCGGACAGCGCTGGCTCTTCGGCTTTGAAACGGAGATGAGCACCGCAACCCTAGAGTCGGATTCGACTGGCTTTCGAGCAAGGGAACCTTTACCTTTACCTTTATTGTGTACACCAGAATAAATATTTGTATTTCGAGACTAAAATATAGTCAATTCTTGAGTGAGAGTTGTGGCGAGGAGAATAGTAGGTAAAATCTCTAGTGGGGTCATTCTTGATTCTCCAGACGTCATGTAGATCAAATTTTTGTAGGATTAATTTTAATTGGTTCCACCTAGGCTCTTTCTTTGGTTTTTGTGGGGGAGACTTGTCTAGGGTTAAGTTCATTATATAGTTTAGATCTCCACCCAACAGGATTGGTCCAGTGTGAAATTTATCTAATTTCTTCAATGTTTCATTTATAAATTTGCATTGGTTAATATTAGGAGTGTATATGGAGGCAAGAGTAATTGGTTGATTCTTAATGAGACCATTTATAAATATGTATCTTCCTTGTGTGTCTTTCTCTATAGTGACCATTTTAAAGTTCGTATTGGCTGAGACAAGGATTGCCACTCCTCTAGCCTTAGATGTTCCATGAGCCAAGAATTGGGAGGAGTACCAGTTGGAAGGCAGAGCCTTTTCTCCACTCTTCAAAAAAGTTTCCTGGAGAAATATGATATTGATGCCTTGTAGTTTCATATCTTTGGCTATTCTCCGTGCCTTAATTTTATTATTAATTCCCCGACAATTCAAAGTTATTACCTTGATGTCATCCATAATAAAGGAATTAAATGAGTTTGATGCAAGTGTGGATTTACCTTTGTGTGATGCGAGTATCTGTTATTTATCGAATCTGTCAATTTCACCTCAACACTTATGACCCGTTTAGGAAATGTACCTAAGATGTACACCCTATAAATATTACTATGACATCTGACTTCTCTTTAAATCTAAAGACTTTCCATTTGAGGCCCCCTTTAGCCTTACTTATCCAAAGGAAGATCGTACCTTGTGTAGTGATGAACAAATAAGGCATTACTAAACCCAGAACTCTTTTCCCCTTAACTCTTTTAAACCTCACAGCCTCGACAACCATAGGCATTAAAAAATGGTCTAACCACGCTCCAGTGAAGTGCTTAATTAGACTCAATGTTTCAAAACCTAAAGAGCCAACATGGAGATTTAATAAAATGCTACTGTATGATATTGACACACAATATGTTCTACGACAAGAAATTACAAATTACTTTAAAACTAATTCACTAAATGAAATCGATTGCCTTACCGTATGGGATGCCTCCAAAGCAGTTATACGAGGTCAATGTATCTCCTTATTGGCTGCCTGCAGAAAAGAGAAGTGTAAAATTAAATCCGAACTCATCCTCAAAATCAAAGGTCTTGAAGAAACACACAAAAGAACGTGTGGTAAAAAAATATACAGAAAACTCTTAGAAACCAGAAAACAACTGGAAATGATGGAAGCAACGGAAATATTAAAAGAAGACTTTGATTATCGTAAAAAAACACAAACAAGCAACTCAAAACACTTAAGAATACTGGCTTGGAGACTTAAGAAAAGACAAGCAGATCGATTTATTGGCGGAATAAAAGATCGACAAAACAAGCTTCATCACGACTCCAAAAAAATTATAGAGGTAATACAAGCCTTCTATGAAACACTATATACCTCGCGAAACCCAAATCCTAAGAGAATACAAGACTACTTACAATCTATTGCTTCGCTTCCTAAACTGACTGAGGATCATATTCACTTACTGGATGCTCCAATAACTACAAAAGAAATTGAACACGTAATAAAAAAGCTCAAGAACAACAAAGCTCCTGGGCCTGACGGGTTTATACCTGAATTTTATAAAGTTTTCCAGCAACAAATAATTGAGCCTTTATTAAATACCTGTGAGTGTATTAGAGAGAAAGGCCAACTACCACCATCATGGCAGTCAGCCAACGTGATTTTGATTCCGAAAAAAGACAAAGACGCAGCAGATCCCAAGTCATATAGACCTATTTCATTACTAAACGTAGACTACAAAATATTCACAGCGGTCATTGCTTCTCGATTACAACACATTATAGCGGAGTATGTTAATAAGGACCAGTCCGGTTTTATACCTTCCAGAGACATAGCAGACAACATACGGAAAATGATTGACATAATTCAACAAAGCAAGAAAAAATCAACAAAGAGTGTGCTGCTGATGGCAATTGATATTGTAAAAGCGTTCGACTCTATTGAGATTGACTTCCTAAAAGCTTTACTTGACCTGATGAACTTTGGTCCCAGTTTTAAGAATATCATCCAAGCAATTTACAAAGAACCAAAGGCAAAACTATTAATAAACGGAGATCGATCGCAATAAAATCACTTTATTTAGAGGTACAAGACAAGGCTGTCCTCTGTCCCCCATTTTATTTGTTCTCGCGTTGGAGCCTTTAGCATGCGAATTGAGATCTAACAACTATTTTGAAGGCATACGCGTTGGAGACAATCAACATAAGCTAAGTCTCTTCGCAGATGATGTCATACTGTACGTTAGTAACCCCATCAATTCCTTAGAAACCATCCATCGCTCTCTATTGCAGTTTGCCACAGTCTCTGGTCTAACAGTTAACCAAAATAAAACGGTGATATACCCAGTCAAGTTAACAAAAATGGAAGAGAAACGGATTAAGTCGAATTATACCTTTCAATGGGCTCAAAACACTATCCAATATTTAGGCATTCAAATTCCTTTGGAGCTCTCGGACCTTATTAAAACAAATCATGTGGAAATGCATAAAGGTGTTAAACATACACTGGAATCCTGGGAAGCAAAAAGTTTATCGTGGCTGGATAGAATAGCTGTGATCAGATCCTTTATTCTTCCAAAGTACTTGTATCTCTTTAGGACTCTACCAATAAATATTGCACCTCAACTTATACAAAAATGGCAAAAGGACCTGAATTCATTCATATGGTGCGGGAAACCACCAAGAATCGCCTATCACACTATGAGAAGACCAAGGCGCAAAGGTGGTCTAGCAGTGCCGGACCTTGAAAGCTACAGAAAAGCAGCTATCTTAGCCGCTACAATACGTCAATACCATGATGAAGACACATTAGACTGGAACAAAATAGAGGAAGCAGGCATCAGGGTTTCCTCGTTTCAAGAACTACTATGGCATAAATCTCTTTAAAAAATAGATAACCAAATAACGAACTTGTTCTCGAAGGCAGCTATTAAAACATGGTACGACATCAAAATGAAACTAATCAACAAATACTCCAGTTTGAGCTCGGTCACACGACAAACATGGTTCAAGCCAGCGGAACAACCACATTCATTCGAAATATGGAGAGCGAATAAGATAAACAAGATAAAAGATGTAGTCCACAGAGGGAAAATGGTTCTGAAAAGCGACCTAGAGCAGAAGCACCGAATTTCAATACCATGGTTTGAATATTTACAGGTTCAAAACTTAATATCCACGACTGATTTTCGCGAGGCAAGCAAGTTGCAGCTCACAGATATAGAACACCTACTAGCAAAGCTCTACAAAACTATTACACTATCACAAAACACTAGACCTCATAACTACCAATTAACATGGAATGCAGATCTCAAATCAATACTATCTGAGGAACAATGGGAAGAAATATGGCGAACACAGTCAAAAATTACTAAAACACTAGGATTACAAGAGTCAAATCTGAAGATACTTACCAGATGGTACCTCACACCAGCAAGATTATCCCACATTCTCCCCTCAACTTCACCGCTTTGCTGGAAAGGATGTGGAGAGAAGGCGGATTTCCTCCATTGTTGGTGGACCTGCAAGGAAACACAGAAATATTGGAACAAAATTGTTACCCAAATTAAACGAATAACAAACACTGATTTACCTTTATCACCGGAACTAATGCTTCTGCACCTTTGGCCACAAATTCGCCCCCCTGAAAGAACTCAACACTTAGTTAACTTATTAATGTTAGCAGCAAAAATGACCATAGCAAAAAATTGGAAAAATAAAAACTCACCAACACTGTCTCAATGGATCAATAAGGTATGGGACATCTTCATGCTGGAGAATCTCTCAATCTACGACTCAACAACGAAAAACAAATGTGAATTCTATAATCCACTCAGTATTTGGAGTCCTATCCTACAAAAAATATCTTTGACACAATTTGATTGGACAGACATAGCCAACGCAAAATTTAGAATAATGCTATTCAACTAAGGATCTCTATACATCTGACATCTCATATTTAGACATGTAAAAGATAAAGTAGGATAACGCAGTTAAGTTTAGAAGTAGCGTGTGTTATACACCTAACCTGTGTTTATGCGGTTTATGCATTGCTGGATTACTTATTTTGTTATTATATTACACTGTAATCTATTCTAAAAATCTCAATAAAAAATATTGGGGAAAAAAAAATTGTATTTTCATAGTAACTTATTTTGCTCGCTTGACCCTCATAGATCACAGCCACATCTTGGGCGGAGTGCCCCCCCCTTTTCTTCCTGGGACTGCAGCCCACCGTCTGCTGAGCCCGCACTGGATCAGGCCGGAAGCCTCCGTGCTCCCCCCACCATAGGAGGGAGGGAGGGGGGTCACATGGAGGTCTTTCTGCCCCACTCTTCTCTCCCTCGAAGCATCTCAGTGCGGCACAGGCGCAGGGTGAGGCAGGTGGGGCTGAGGGAACTTCAGAGAGAACTGGGACTGGACCAAGGTCACCCACCCGGCAGCTTCACGTGGACGAGAAGGAGGAGGAGGAGGAGGAGGAGGAGTGGGGAATCAAACATGGGCACTTGGGGAGGAGGTGCAGAGTTCAGCAGCTGCTGATTTCCGGCCAGGGAGTATTTCTCCCCAGTTTGGCGCAGTGTTTAAGTGCTGCACTCTCATCTGGGAAAACCGGGTCTGATTCCCCACTCCTCCTTCACTGGCACCTGACTGGGTGACCTTGGGTCAGTCACTAGTTCTGACAAGAGCTGTTGTTGAAAAAAGAGCAGTTTCCCGTCAGGAGTTCTCTCAGCCCCTCACCTGCCTCACAGGGTGTTTGTCTGTTATGGGGAGGGGGGAGGGAGAGGAAATTGTGAGCCGCTCTGAGACTCCTTCGGGTAGTGAAGGGCTAGGGGGGGTATGAATCCAATCTCTTCTTCTCCTCCTCCTCCTCCTCAAGAGCCAGTGTGGACACAAGTCTGGACATCAGGAAGCACAAAACCCAACGACCATTGTGTGTGTCTGTTGGGGGGGGGGACATTTTCACCTTCCCGGACATTCAGGCCACCCTGCTGACTTAGGGGTGTGTGTGTGTGTGGGGGGTGTCCCTTCCAAGGTCAGCCCGTCTCCCTCCCGGGTCTGCAGCCCTGGACCTGCCAGGGGCGTAACCCAGCGGGGGGGCCCAAATGCAAAGAGAGAAGCGCCAGCAAAAGGAAGGGGGAGGGAAGCAAAAAAATCCCCCCCAAAAAGAAGAACGAGGCTGGGCTTCCCTGGGCCAAAATCTCTCCCCCCCCCCAGTAGAGGGAGCACAGAAGACAGCAAGGGAAGGGGGGGGGGAACAGGCGATGACGGGCACAGATTTGGGCGCAGGGGAGGAGACACGTGCACGGAAGAGCAAGGCCATTCGCTCCACTCCCCGACACGTGAACGGGGGGGTGGAGGAAGCCATGGGAGCCCGCAGCGCCCCGGAGGGAAAGGGGGGTTTGGGGGACCTTCCGGCTCCTGTCCGCTGTAGCCCAGGAGGGGCTTCCAGACGAACGGACGGCCTCGAGGGGCGCCTCTCCCGCCCTGTTTCCACCCCCCAACCCCCCCCCCCCCCGGTATACACCTAACCTGTGTTTATGCGGTTTATGCATTGCTGGATTACTTATTTTGTTATTATATTACACTGTAATCTATTCTAAAAATCTCAATAAAAAATATTGGGGAAAAAAAAATTGTATTTTCATAGTAACTTATTTTGCTCGCTTGACCCTCATAGATCACAGCCACATCTTGGGCGGAGTGCCCCCCCCTTTTCTTCCTGGGACTGCAGCCCACCGTCTGCTGAGCCCGCACTGGATCAGGCCGGAAGCCTCCGTGCTCCCCCCACCATAGGAGGGAGGGAGGGGGGTCACATGGAGGTCTTTCTGCCCCACTCTTCTCTCCCTCGAAGCATCTCAGTGCGGCACAGGCGCAGGGTGAGGCAGGTGGGGCTGAGGGAACTTCAGAGAGAACTGGGACTGGACCAAGGTCACCCACCCGGCAGCTTCACGAGGAGGAGGAGGAGGAGGAGGAGGAGGAGGAGGAGTGGGGAATCAAACATGGGCACTTGGGGAGGAGGTGCAGAGTTCAGCAGCTGCTGATTTCCGGCCAGGGAGTATTTCTCCCCAGTTTGGCGCAGTGTTTAAGTGCTGCACTCTCATCTGGGAAAACCGGGTCTGATTCCCCACTCCTCCTTCACTGGCACCTGACTGGGTGACCTTGGGTCAGTCACTAGTTCTGACAAGAGCTGTTGTTGAAAAAAGAGCAGTTTCCCGTCAGGAGTTCTCTCAGCCCCTCACCTGCCTCACAGGGTGTTTGTCTGTTATGGGGAGGGGGGAGGGAGAGGAAATTGTGAGCCGCTCTGAGACTCCTTCGGGTAGTGAAGGGCTAGGGGGGGTATGAATCCAATCTCTTCTTCTCCTCCTCCTCCTCCTCAAGAGCCAGTGTGGACACAAGTCTGGACATCAGGAAGCACAAAACCCAACGACCATTGTGTGTGTCTGTTGGGGGGGGGGACATTTTCACCTTCCCGGACATTCAGGCCACCCTGCTGACTTAGGGGTGTGTGTGTGTGTGGGGGGTGTCCCTTCCAAGGTCAGCCCGTCTCCCTCCCGGGTCTGCAGCCCTGGACCTGCCAGGGGCGTAACCCAGCGGGGGGGCCCAAATGCAAAGAGAGAAGCGCCAGCAAAAGGAGGAGGGGAAGCAGATAAATCTCCCCCCAAAAATGAAGAAGAACGAGGCTGGGTTTCCCTGGGCCAAAATCCCCCCCCCCCAGGAGAACACAAAAACAGAAGACAGCAAGGGAAGGGGGGGGGGAACAGGCGATGACGGGCACAGATTTGGGCGCAGGGGAGGAGACACGTGCACGGAAGAGCAAGGCCATTCGCTCCACTCCCCGACACGTGAACGGGGGGGTGGAGGAAGCCATGGGAGCCCGCAGCGCCCCGGAGGGAAAGGGGGGTTTGGGGGACCTTCCGGCTCCTGTCCGCTGTAGCCCGGAGGGGCTTCCAGACGAA